CACTCACAGACGCCCAGGAACACACAAATAAAAATGCATTTCATTCATTCATTCTTTTTTTTTTTTTTTTTTAAACAGTTTCAGGCCAGGCATGTTGGCACTGGTGCACACAAAAACACATACACACACCACCACACTATTTCAAAAGACAAACAGGGCCAGCACTTTACACCTATGTTGTGGCAAGCACTTGTACATATGGGTACTCTGCGCATTACACACACACACACACACACACACACACACACACACAAATGAGTGTAATAAAAAATTCCTTTTTCTGTTTTTTAATATTTATGTGTCTGGGTGCTTTGCCTACGTGCATGTCTGAGCACCATGCGTGTGCTTGGTGCCTGTGAAGGTCAGAAAGGAGCACTGGATCCTTGGAACTAGAGTTATTGACGGTTACAAGCTACCGTGTGGGTGTCTGGAACTGAACCCAGGTCCTCTGCAAGAGTAGCAAGAACTCTTAATCACTGAGCCGTCTCTCTGGCTTAGTAATAACTGTTTTCCAAAAAAAGTGAATAAATCTTTAGAATAATGGTTTGTTTTTGTGACGATTTCTCATGCAACCCAGGTTGGCCTCAGATCTGTGCCGGTTCCCCTGCCTTAGCCTCTTAGGCTGGTGTTACAGTGAGAGCCACCACACCCAGTGTATATGATTTTTTAAACTTGTGTTGGCAGTTCTTCATTTTTAAATATATCAGGAGCCTCAAAATGCAAGCGACCTTGCCCCTCTGGGCCCCGACCTGAAATGTAGAACTGTGAGCATTCCCACAGCTCCTTGTACCAGCTCCTGCAGAGAAAGGGGGGTGAACTCACTGTCCAGGGTGGGCTGGGTGCCCTTGGGCCCTGACCCAAGTGGGGTTCTGAGTCATGAGGAGGGAATGAGGGAGAGCCACAGACTGAGGAAACCAGGGGGTGACTTTTAGGTCACCTGATCCAACAGGTAAAGGTACTGCCACCAAATGTAGTGAATTGAGTTTGATCCCCAGGTCCCATATGGTGTAAGGAGAGAAACAACTCCCAAAATTTGTCTTCTAATCTCCACACAGCCACACCACTTGTGCTATGGCATTTGAGTACACGAAAACAAGCACATATGAAAAAAAAGAGGTAGCCTTCCCTCAGGGTGGCAGGTGAGGTGCTGGCTGTCCCCAGCTCAGCCCTAGAAGCCACTGCTGCTGCAAAGCTACAAAGCTAACAAGGCCCTGGGGAACTGGCAGGCACCCTGTCTGGTCCCACCCCAGCTCTTCAAGACTGCTCCCAGCATCTGCCCTCAGGCAACCCTAATTCCCATGTGGACCCCATGCACCCATCTGAGCCCCAAAGCAGTTCTCACCGCCTGTCCAGAAGGGCCTGCAGCATCAGTGGCACCTTGCCCTGGACCCAGGTGGGAGACTTCATTAATTTCCTCAGCAAACGCTCAAGGCTGCTTGTTTAATTGCTGCTATGAAAAGGTTTCCATGAAACCCAACACCAGCCCTCCCCGCAGAGACAGTGCAGGCTCCTGGACCCAGCAGGCTCAGAGGGAGTCAAAGCTGAAGTGTTTAGTGAAAAGCCTCCCTGCTTCCTCTCACACAGGTTCCAGAAGAAGGCACAGCCATCCTACCCACATGGTCCCTGTGTTCTCAGAACTGCACAGGCACAGGTGTGCCTAGCTGCTCCTTGACTCTGCAGGAGTTCACTGGGGTAATGTGTATTTGGTAATGGCATACTCCGTTTAAATGTCTACAGACACTAGCAGGGTGTTTTTCAAACTCTTATCATGGTCAGAAACTGTCAAGTGAAGCCTTAAAAGCACTTGCCAAATAGGGAGTGAGTCTGGGCACTGAAGAAGGGTGAGAGATCAAAGAGCCTTGGCCACTTGGCCTCCTCTCCTTCCTTGGCCTCCTCTCCTTCCCAGCCCTTGGGAAGATGGCTGGTGTCTGGTTTAGTCATTGCTTCTGAGAGCTGCCACCTAACAGGGGGTGTAGGGCCAGGTATTCCTGCGCTTTTTCAAGGTGGGAGGGTTGAGGGTGTTTCCTCAGATTGTGTGGGGCACATGGACAACTGTGGCCACTGGAGCAGCACTGCTGACTCTCCACCCTTCCATCCCTGTGTGGCCTTTCTCCCATCCTAGAAGTCATTGACTTGTTTGCTTGTGTACTTTTGAGGTCTGTAGCTCTCTCTGCTGAACTACCTAGCTTCCTGACCATGGTGCTACCCCCACATCCAGGACTCCTGTAGAGCGAGGGAAGGTACCAGGTGCTCCCCCAAAGCTCCCAACATAACGGTACTTTTAACAGGGCTTCACCGAGCTCTAGGTGGGAAAGATGAATGGAGAAATTGGGAAAGACCATGGCAGAGGCAGCCCTGGGAAAAAGCAACCGTTCTCAAGACCATCCTAGGATCCCTTCAGAATCCTCGCTGTCACAATGACTGTTCCCATGGCCATCCCTGCTCCCTCACCCCAAGGGAGCTCAGGACTCCAGAACCTGGGCCATGCCAGGCAAAGCAGAAGTGACATACATTGCTTTCCACCACCGTCCCTCCTGCCTGGCAGGGCACCTGACAGCCACAGGACTTCTAGGCTCCAGCTAAGCGCTCCTTCCTTGCATCCCAGCACCTCTTAACTGCTCACCATTCCCAGAAGAGGTCCTAGTGGCTGAGCCACTCTGAAAGCTCTCTGTTAAGCCCTACTCAGACAGTCAGCATTGCCAGGCCTGCCCACGGGAGGCCTGTGAAGGTCTTTGTTGGAGCAAGGGAGAGGCAGCTATGCCAAGCAAGGGCCAGGGAGTCCCTGCTGCCAAGTGCTTGAGAAAGCCTGGTGGTTTTCTACTTGCATTAGAAGCTTTAGAGGTCAGGGACCCCTCTCCCCCAACCGTCTGGGATGCTAAGTGCAAGCAGGGGTGCTACCATGGTGTCAGGTGGCTCATCCCCAGGTTTGTCTCCTGAGAGGACATCGAAATGCCCCAAAGATTGAGACAGTGCACATTTTAATGCAAGAGTCACTCTGTGCCAACCCTGGGGTTGGGTACAGCAGGGACTCTCCCATCAAGGCTAACTGTTAGGTTGCTTCCTGGTTCTCTGCAGGGAAGGAGAATATACCTACTTGAACTCCTCATGATGAACAAGGGTTAATGTCACTGGTGCCCTAAATTCTCCTGGCAAGGATCAAGGACAGACAGGCAGGTATCCATTTCAGTGAGACATGAACTCACCAGGTCCAGAATGGGGTGAACAGGTCACCTAGCTACCATGGCATCATGAGTATGACTAGAAGAACATTCTAAACAGCACTGGCTACCATGACCTACAGCAGCTGAGGCTCCCAGCAAGATGGCTGCCTTGAGGTCTGTCAGCAAAGGCCTAGATGAAAAAGCCCTCTTCTGACACATTCCACTTCTTTCTAGTTTTAGGAAAAGGACCACCCACACCCTTTGGTTAAGGGAGTAGAGCTGAGACATCCAGTTTCTAGCCTTCTAACAATCCCTGGATCTTGGGGAACTTCCCCCAGACAAGGAAAATGAAGAGGAGCCAGAGAAAACGGGATTGGATCTTTCTGTCCTGTGTCCAGCACACTGTACTCCCAGATCTAAGTCTCCTCCAGGGCAGGCATTGGTACCTTGTATTTGCTTCCCTCTGACCTCCTGCTTTTACAAATCCCTTATGACAGATACACTAACTTGGAGAGGCCTTGTGGAAGCAGACACAGAAAGGAAGTGAACCCCCAGGCCAACCCAGAGGCTTGTGGGCCCAGATCATTTTACCATTAAATGGGGATAAAACGCAGAGCTGAATGCTGTGCTGGTCTGGAGTCTCAGAATGAATGTCAGACAGTCTGATGCTCAGCCTTGGCCACTTAGTGAGCTTCCATGATGGAGGAAATGGGCTCAGAGGCCCTAAGCCTCACAGCCCCTCCCCAATCAACCTGGGAGGTCTGAATAAGTAACCCAGGGCAGCCTGGGCTCAGCTCTGCCCACCACTTCCCCTGGGGGTGGGAATTGCATCATGACTGCTTTGCAAGTTGCCTGGGTGGCAAGCACAGAACTGAAGACTCTTAGTGACTTATGCCTGCCTCTGTCCCGAATAATGGCAAAGAAACACCACCATCCCGGTCTCTCTGCTTGTTTTGGTTTTTGAATGCAGGGTCTCACTATGTAGTCCTGTCTGCTCTGGGACATGAAGTAAACCAGGCTGACCTTAAACTTGTGGCAATCCTCCTGCCTCTGCCTCCCCAGTGCTGAGACTACAGACATACACCACCACTTCTGGTTCTCTGTCTTCTTTGAGGACACTGCCCAGCCCAAAGCTGTCTGACCCACAGGTTTCTCTAATTGACAGAAAGTAGGGAACCCAAGTTTTGTGCAGAACCCCAAGTCCTTCCGTGGCCCTCTCCTTCCTCTCCAGTGGGAAGGTAGGCCCTAGCACCAAAAGACAGGAGAGCGCTTTTCAGCACCTGGACAAGGCCCTTCCGGGTCTTTCCCCCAATCCTGGCCCTGGAGCATCCATAGATTCCGTTCGCTCCTAGCAAACAGAGACCTCGTTCACCAGGAAGTGAGAGGGCACTGGGTGGGGCTGGGATGCCTGAGAGTGCCACACAGCTTGTTCCCTGATCTTGTGAGGACCCCCTTCCCCACGCAGGCCTTTCTTATTATCTATGTACACTCACACGGGAATGTCGCGCCTAGACCGAGTGGGGTGGACTCTCACCACATGGAGCACAGACAGAACCGACAGCCCCTCCCTGCAGTCCCTTAAAGCCCCGACGGAGGAAAGCGCAGGGTCCCTCCACCCCGGTCTCGGAAGGCCCGGAACACAAGTGGACCACCGGTCCTGGAACTAGGGGAACAGGCGGGGGCCGCTCCCATCACCCTCTTCAGGTCAACAAGCACAAAAGCCGCGGCTGCAAACAAAGAAGCGCTGCAAACTCGCCGGGGAGGCGGGACAGGCGGCGCCGCGCCCCCTCCCCACGCCGCGCGGGCGTGCCGGGCCATGGTCCCCGACGGCGCTCCTACCTGGCCGGCACGGACCTCCTTCTCCAGCTCGCGGTGGCGGTTGTGCCACACGAGGTAGTGCAGCGGGTACTTGCCCTCGGGCCCCTTCCTGGCGGAGGCGTTGGCGGGGATCATCGCCCGCTCCTCATGCCGGGGCCGCGGCGCCCGGCCCGCGGGGAGGGACGGCGCGGGAGCCGGGGCCCGGGGCCGCGGGGCGGGCGGCCGGAGCTGTCTGCTCGCGGGGCTGCGGCTCGGGCATGTGCGAGCAGCGGCGGCGGCGGGCGGGGGCGGCGCGCCCGGCGTGGTGCGGGCGGCGGGCGTCCTCGGGAGGCGGCGGCGGGCGGCGCGGAGCAGCCCCCACCCGCCCGGGGAGGGAGCGGGCACTCGGCGGCACGCGGCCTCGCGCCTCGCCTCCCACACCCCCGCACACAAAGACGCCACTCGGCACAGGGAGCAGGAGCCCGCAGCGGGAGCGGGGGCGCACAGGGCACTGGCCCCTGGGACGCCGCCGCCGCCGCAGGGACGCACGCCCGCAGCCTCCGGCTACCCTAAACCGCATAGCCCGGCCCTCAGCCCGAGAGGCCGGCGAGGGATGAGCAGATGCGGGAGAGAGAGGAGGGGACCCGGGTGCCCGAAGCTGGGCTAGTTACAGCTCGGCCCCGCAGCATCATGGGGCTTGTAGTCCGCCTGGTAGAACCGAGCGTTTCGAATGACCAGAGACCGTCTGGAACTGATTTCCTGAAAGGGTGGACAGAGAGTGGGCCCCGCACGAAACGGAGGCCTTACTTGGATGCCAGGTGGGTTGGGGGTGTGCCTCCACCAGCTGGCATTTTGCCTTTTGCAAAGAAATGGAGGAGGCTTACAAGCCTGGCTTGAAGAGTTGGGGCAAGGGACATGTGGCCTGCAGAAGTGAGCTTGGGTCCCAGGGAGGGTGAGGTGGCATCTGGAGTCTTAGAAGATATTGACCAACGAGTGACCCCCTAAGAGAGATTCAGAGCACCAGTACCAAAGGTCACTGAAGCAGCCAGGGATCTGACACTTGGAATATTTCTCAATCTTTTGCTCTCCTCAGAAAAGTAAACCCCATCTTCCACACATCACGCTGCAAAGAGAATGTCTACCGGGGTGAAGAAGACAATCCTTCACCTACATTGCTCAAGAACCAGGATGAGGTTGAGCAGAGACTGCAGCAGGTGGCAGCTCCCCACCTCCAACCCATGTGGGTCCCTGAAGAAAGGAAATGACTAGGTACAGATTGCCTGCTTCCTGAATGACCAGAGCAAACGAGCCCTTCCACAAGGATCCCTTTGCAGAGAGTGTGGTAAAAGTGAAAATGGCCCTTGTGGCAGCCAACTGCAAATGTTAAAGGGACCAAGATGCCCTGAAAGAGAAAATGGATCGTGATGTCAAGAGAGTTGTGTTTAAATACCGACTGCCTCAATTGCTTGATCTTAAGCAAATTGCTTACACTTCCGAGTTTCTCGGTCCACTCACTTCTAAAATGGGCTTGGATACTACCCCCTGGGGTGAGCTAAGGATAGCAACTCTGCTTCAACCAGACTGAGACAGGTGGTAGGAATGAACGCTTTCCTTGAGCCCACCTTATTCCAAGGCATAAATAAGGGATTCCTCACCAACCCGACTTGGAACAACAGTCTAATGAGTGTTTGTGTGGGAGGTGCCAGCAAAAGCTTGCAAACTCCTGGTGCCTCTCTCGGGTTCCTTTGTATGGTCTTCTCTCCTACCTCCTGCATACCCAGCTTTGCCAGGCCCGGGAGGGCTGAGGGAGGAGCAGACTGACTCGCCCCTTTCTGCAGCCTGGGAGGAGCCGGCAGGCGTCTCCACTACTCAGATCCGCAGCCCACCTCCACCGCCAGGGGTCAGCAGAGTGTTGTGATTGCAGCCGGAGTTGAGGAGGGGGCTCGAGTAAAGGAGGAGCATCTAGGAGAGGCTTCTAGAATACTTGTACAGTACTTCATTAAATCGTTTTTCAGAACGTTGTGTGTAATCCCACTTGAGCTGTGCTGTTTCCTGGGATGGTGACATCTCCGGGGATCCCAGAAACCCTACTATCGCCATCTTCAAGCACTGAATCTTGGCTGTGGTGAGGGGGGAGGGGGCTGTTCGGAACAAAGTTTTGATAATGTGTAAGTGCTAGGCTGTCCCTGAGCCAACAGGGAGATGGGGAGGCCGGGGTGGGGGTGGGGGACGTGAATCATTCTTCCCCTGAACAACTCTGTAGCCCAAGAAGGGAGAGAGGCCAGCATGCATTTGGAAGAACTATTCTTTGGGTAGCTAGGTTCCCCTTTTTGCCAGATGGTCTTCTACCGACTCAGCCCAGGTCGTTTTCATTTTGGTCTGAGCGCCCTGGCTGCCACGTGCTCGAGATGCGCCCACACAGCTAAGAAACAAAGGCAGCCAAGCGACAGGGCTGCCAGCAGCCGCCACGACATTTAATAAATGAAATTCCATAGCTGGGGGGGGGGGTCGATCCGGGGTGAACGGGCGGCCACTGTTCCTGGGCTGTGCGCCCAGTTTCAGCTGCCAGGCTGCTTCCCACCTCCAGTGCTGGGGCCACCGAGCCTACAGCCTCTTTGGTACAAGTGAAGTATGGGGTGGCATCACCACCACCCTCGAGTTCTTTGCTAGCAGAAACCCCACCTGCTGAGCCGCTGGCTGTGGGGGGAAAGGGATATCTGCAAGATTTCTTTTTCCTAAGGTGAGATTATAAATATATCCTGTAGATCGCAATTTCAAACAAACTTGTCAGTCTGAGTTGCAGCAAAAGGCGATGGAACTTTGCATGTATTTTGGGTGGTGTGACTCATAAGCATCGCTTGTCTTCCCTAGGGAAGGTGCCTGCCCACCCACAAGTCACCGCTGCTCTGGCACTGCTGGAAGAAATCGACCCACTCAGGCACCCCTATCAAAGGACTCCCCCAAACCCCAGTTCTAGAACTGAGTAGGAATCCCTGACACCTAGGGGACTCTACCTTAACTATGTCACCACTGACCTGCCTCCTCCTCTGCGCCCCCCCCTCCCGACTTGGTGTTGTGTGTGACATCCCTCTCCACAAGCTGAGTGCTCAGACAGCCTTTTTGCTGCTGTAGGGATGGGGGCTGGGCGCAAACGGGTCACACGTGTATTGGGGGGAGCATGCTCAGTGTGGGGTGCACCCACGTGCAGCCTGCACTTCAGCTCCTTGTCCCCTCCCCTCCTATCTCCATGAGAAGTCCAAAAAAAAAAAGGTCTTTACAAGATTTGGATCCTGTATGCTATGTGCGCTATGTGCATATGCTCTAAGTACATATACAAATACACCCGTTGGGCGGTCTCAAAACATCATTGATGCATACAAAACAGATAGCAAGCTTGTGCTGGTGCACACAACTCAGTGGTCACTCTTATCCATCCAGATTCTTTGCTTTCTTGTTTGAAACAAAGAAGGTATATATTTTTAATCCCGCAGGCAGGGAGTCACACTTGAGTGACCTCTCGGGCACCTGGCCGTCCATATTGGTGGCAGCGCGGGGGTACTTGGCGGGATGTGGCCATAAACCCACCTAGACAGACACTGACATGGACACAGAGGGGACGAGAACACACACCTCACCCCAACCCAGCTTCTGACCGCGAGGAGCAATGTGCCTGGGGATGCTTCTTGTCCGTCCTAGTCCCCACCACATCAGCCTCCCGGCTCCTGGACCACTCCCCAATCTGAAAGTGAAGGTCAAAGTGCTAGCGGGCGTCTCCAGCTGACCAGGCTGGAGAGGGCCGCGGCTCCTTTAAGAGGCCCGGTCCACTCGGGCCCGCGCGCAGGCTTCCTCTCTCTGAGAGGCGCGGCCTTGGAGCCGAGCGGAGCGGCTGGGCGGGGTGCGTGCAGCCCCTCCCCCGGTGGGCAGGGCCTGCGCTGCTTCCTGCAGGAGCGGCCCGGGCCGCGCAGGGGGCGGGGAGAGCGGCGAGCGGCGAGCGGCGGCGGGGCGGCGCGGGGCGGCGCGGGGCGGAGGGCGCCCGAGGGCGAGCGGGCGGGCAGGCACGGCGGGTTCCGGGCCAGCCCCGGGGGCGGACGGTTGGCCGCGCGCGCGGAGCCTCGCCGGGGCCTTGCGGGAGCCGGGCCGGGCCGTAGGGCCGCCGCCGCCGCCCGGGCCCGCCGCCCGCGCCCCCCACGCTGGCCCAGAGGGCTGCGGCCGCGTCGCCGCTGAGGATGTCCCGGAAGGGGCCGCGAGCGGAGGTGTGTGCGGACTGCAGCGCCCCGGGTAAGCGGCGGGACCGGGCCGGGGGCGGGACCGCGCCGCAGGCCGCCGCCGGGCGGGCGCCGGGGCCTGGCGGGAGCGCTGTGCGGGGCCGGAGGGCGGGGCGGGGGCCACTGCGGAGCGGCGTCCTTGGCGGGAGGGCCGGCTGCGGGGGGCGCTGTGCGTTGGAGCCGGCGGACTGGAGGGAACCGCCTCCCACCTCCATCTCGGCATCCAGACGGAAGCGCCAGCCTGGGGTGGCAGGAGGGCCGTGGCGGAGGCCCGCAGGCCGTGGGAGGTGGGCGCTAGTATGGTTTGTGTCATCCCTGCCACCCCCGCGTCTTGCACCTGCTGCTCACATGTTCCGCGTGCCCGCCCGAGCAGTGGAGGGCAAGGGGCCTGAATACAGGTTTCTTGAGAGCACCTGACTGGGGTGGCTACTCCAGGACGCCCAGTCCCCGATTTGCAAGGCTGGGACTCTTTGTAGGGCCCTACGTTCAGGGGCAATCTAAGCATGGGCATCTTCCCCGGAAGCATCTCCAAGCCTGCTGGTGTCTGGGAACAGCTAGACTCAGCTTTTCCTGTTCCGGGTAGGCCTGTTTAATAAGGTGTGCTAGGTATTGCCTCAGTCTAGAAAGCGATTCCTCCTGCTCTCTAGCCTATTCTGGATAAGAGAAAGTGCCTAGGCTCCCCCTGTCCGGCTGGCTGGACTTATACACTGCTTCCTCCCTTCTTCTCAGCAGAATTAGGTCTGTAGCCCCTGGCTTGCTGGGGAAATGAAGGGAGGGCAGCAGCTTACTGACTGGCCCCTTACATGGATCACAACCAGTGATGGGACTCAGCAGCTGGCCAGAGGAAGGAAGCTTCCTCTATAAAAGCTGGCTTTTCAGATAGGCTCGGAGTCTTATAAACTCCATGTGGACTGTAGATGT